AAGAGTCCTTTCGGCAAAGATGTCTGCTGCCTCACAGGGATTGAGGTAATAAATCTGCTTAAATAATTGAGTGGAACAGGCCAGTTAGCACCGACCTCCTGACAAAGCTGGAGGCTAGAAAAGCATGTCTGATAATTTGGGATAGAGCCATGTGAGAATAGAGACAGCACTTGAGGACCTGTGTGCCCCAGGTGTGGAACTCTGCACTTGCTGACATATGCCCTAAGGTAAAAAACTGAGTTTATTTCTTCCTCTTACCCATGCAGCACGCCTGCCGTTTTCTATTCGAGTCCTCTTGGAAGCAGCGATTCGTAACTGTGATGAGTTCCTAGTGAAGACAGGAGATGTTGAGAATATTCTCAACTGGAAAGTGGTGCAACACAAGAATGTTGAAGTGCCGTTTAAGCCTGCAAGAGTTATTCTGCATGACTACACGTGAGTCTGATGCTCTCCAGAGCTGCGAAGAGGGGCTCTTGAAAGTGCAGCAATGCTCAGCTTGGGCTGGAGGGGTGAGCTGAAGGAAAGAATAACAATGAAATCAGAGGGCAGATTTAGATTAGATATAAGAAAGAAATTTTTCACTGTGAGGGTGGTGAGGAGCTGGAACAGGTTGCCCAGAGAAGTTGTAGGTGCCCCATCCCTGCAAGTGTTCAAGGCCAGGCTGGATGAGGCCTTGGGCAACCTGGTGTAGTGGAGGGTTTCCCTGCCCACGGCAGGGGGTTTGGAACTAGATGATCTTTGAGGTCCCTTCCAACCCTAACCATTCTGTCATTCTGTGAAATGTTTGAAATGGCTTTCCTGGATGGCAGGCTACAGACAACGTTTGGAGAGGCAAACACTCATGATATAAATGTTTAATGAAGTGCTTCTGGGATGGATAAATAAATATGAAACTCTTCAAAAACAAAGGCAAAGGAAATGGGATGGATAAATTGCATCCAAATGAGGGAATTTGGAGTTTAGAGGTTTTGTTGTTGTTGTCTGGGGGGATGTGGTGGTGTCTGTCTCCCCCCCACCCCCCAGGGCTACTGCCTTCAATTTTCTTCCCTTTCCAATTCTCATTTCTAACCCACATCATTATTTTTAATTCTGAGTCAGTATTATTCCACATATATTTTTAAAGATTTCTCTGCTATTGAAAAAATGAATGTCTGCTCTTTTCCCAAAATGTGAATTGAGATTCCCACCTAACGGACTGTGAAAACTGGGCCTTGTTGTTGCAGTGTGGTTAGTCCCCATGTGTCAGCATGTAATAGTCCCTGGTAGATGTGGAAAGGCAATTTCCAGGTGGAACAGTAGCTTCTAGCTGTTTTTAATACAGCATTTGACTTGCAAGTCCACTGTCCTTTGTACCTTTGTCCTCTGCCTTTGTAAGAGAATTTAGTTCATCCGTGGTAAGCTCCATACTGCTAAGCTGTCGATGGATTTTATTTCTCAGAACAATAAGGTGTCTTAGCTGTCATACCTTCTGTTTTGCATTTTCCCAAAGGTTGGCCAGGTACTAGAGACCCAGTATAGCTGAACTCCTAAAGATATTAAGAAAAACTGGCAAAACCTCAATTCAGAGAAAAGGGCTGATTTCCTAGCTATTTTTTTTACCCACTGGCTGTTGTTAACATTTTGAAAAGCTGGAGCACAGAAGCTGCCAAACTTTCAAGCAAATATTGTTCCCTTTGTTCCTGTACTTCTTTCTTGCCCCCTACTCTCCTGCTGAGTTCTGAAAATTTGCCTATGAGTCTGCAGAGCAGCTGCATTCATGAAAAATGAACTCTTGAACAGGTTCCTGAGTGGGAGCTTTTGGAAAAGGCAGGTTTGGCAACTTTCCAGAAGCCATACAGTTACATTCACATGCCCTGGATTAGAATTACCGAGTTTCCTAGATCTGATCATTCTGTAGTTATCCTCAGTTGTTCTAAGACTGTAGATGGCATGTTGGACACATGTGTCTGTTTCTTTTCAATTGTAAGCTGGCAAAATAACTCTTCCACTTCTTTTGTCCCTCCCATGCCCTCTCCCAAATCCGCGTAGGTAGCATAACATAGCATTTGCTATTTTCCTTGGAATATGCATATCCTGGGACAAAAACTGCTTCGAATTGCTGAACAACATCAGTTAATCTTGTCAAGATTAGATAATGTCAGCCCTCTTTTTTGTAAAGACTCAGGATTTCTCTTCTTCTTGCATTGTTTCTGATATGTTTTAAAATCTTAAAGCTTCCTTATAATCACAGTTGAAAACATAAACTCTTGCTGCTTTGGGCTGATCTTGCAGACACATAGTGTTCTCAGCAGGTTATTGAATGATCCCAAATCCTATGAGCTCATCACAGAGAGCTTGTTTTGTCTAAGCAACCAGTAAAATCAGATAGGCTGGTGTGCAAGACTGTTTCCTACAGTGATTGAAAAATGTCATGCTAGTACATACCTCTGTAGAAGCTGAACATATATGTGCTGAGCGACACCAGAAGCTTTGTTAAAATAAATTTAAAAATGTGTATGATCTGTTAGTTAAGATGGGTGTTGAAGTGCCAGAACTTCTGGTTACTACTCCTTGTTTGACTAAACTCCTTATGACTAAACGTGGGTTGGAAGTGGAGGATGGGCAAAAGACTCTCATGTGCATTACTTTGAGCCTCTGTATAATTTACCTACTTCACTTAGGAAGGAAGGCCTAATTTAGGGGTTAAAAAATTATTTTGGATGAGTGAGACATACAAACATAGAGAAAAAGGCCTGTTAACTTTTTGCTGAGTCACTTGGAGTTCAAGAGCTTGCAGGATGGTCACAAGATGCGTGAGAAGGCAGACGTGAACGTTGGCCCGTAGCCTGAGAATGTGCTGTTTGAATGTAATTTGTGATATAAGGTCTTTTGTCAGTGGTAAGTACAATAATTTGGCACTAAAGATGAATAGTACACCTTATTTCTGCCTTTTATGTTTGTCTAGTGATCTGCCAGGGCAGTTAAATCCGTTTCTGAAAATACAGTTATTCTGCAAAGGTATTTTGCAGTCATGTTCGTTATAATTTAAGAAATCTGATGCCCTGCTCTGCCAGTATCACTTGAAGTGTGGAAGGTACCAAACAGTGCTAGTTATGGAGAAGATTCTGCTGTGATTTGCAAAACTTGGAAGAGATGACCCTTGCCTTAAAATCAGCTAAAAAACATAGCAAAGAATGAAAGACAGGGCATTGTCATTTTCCCTCTCTCCCCCCCACCCCCACCTTCTTTTTTAAACACACTGGGGAGGCGAGAGAGGAACAGAGCAAAAGAAGAGAACCAGTTCAAGGTCCCAAAGGAATGCTGTCTGGAACTAAGTTTCCAGATTCCCTGCCAAGCATGTTAAACTGCTTCTGTTACTTGGTGAATTTTGGTTTTAGCTTTTCATTCTTACAGTCCTCATGATATAGATACAGTTCTGTCCCTTCTACTCTTCTGACTTTGTCTTCCCAAGGGTGCTGTCTGTGCCATAGAGTAAGGATCCCAAGGCTCAGGGTAAGGCTACAGTTTGCTTTGTCTTGGGCAGTAGGTGTCTGTTCTGCATTTCAGGATCTTGGTTGTGTTTGTTTTGTTGGGTTTCTTTTTTTTCCAAATTGTTTCATCTTGCCTATTTTTCTTCTGTTTTAGTGGGGTACCTGCTGTGGTTGACTTTGCTGCGATGCGTGATGCTGTGAAGAAACTTGGTGGGGACCCTGAAAAAGTCAGTCCTATCTGTCCGGCTGATCTAGTGATAGATCACTCCATCCAGGTTGATTTTAGCAGGCGGTAAGGATACTTACTACCGTTAAAGAAGTTAAGAGTTATTTTGTAAGCTGGATCCAGTTACTAATAATAAAAGTAGTTCCGTTGGTGATATTCTTAGTATTTGGATTGTAACATCCAGACCCGAAGAAGTGTTTAAGTTAGGCTGTTGTATCAGTTACTGTGAATTAGATGGGATAATTTAGTTTTTTCTGTGGTGCATCTCTCAGCAGCACAAGACTGGACTAAATGTTGATAGAAGCAGGCTCAGTCCAGACCTGTGGTGATCCTAATTTTCCATAATAATACTGCATTATTATTAGTTGCTCAGAAATAGCTTTTTGCCACATGCACTTTTTTGACCCCATAGGGCTTTTTGGAAAGGACAAGCGAGAATATCTCCTTTCTTACTTATTTATATAAGAATAGACCTGAGCTGCCCTAGCCCAGCTCAGAGGAAGTGTTTGCTAGTTCAGTACCTCAACGCAGCAGAGCACCAGATACTGATTAATACAGCTCCTAGTAAGTACAGGAGGGAAACATAATGCTGTTCAGTCCTCAGCATGCTACAGACAGATGAGCACTCACTAGACCCACATCATAGAATCATAGAATCATTTAGGTTGGGACCTTGCAGGTCATCGAGTCCAACCGTAAACCTAACACTGCCAAGTCCACCACTAAACCGTGTCCCTAAGTGCCACATCTACACGTCTTTTAAATGCCTCCAGAGATGGTGGCTCAACCACTGCCTGGGCAGTCTGTTCAATGCTTCTTTCAGTGAAGAAATTTTTCCTAAAATCCAGTATAAACCTCCCCTGGCGCAACTTGAGGCCATTTCGTCTTGTCCTGTAGCTCGTTACTTGGGAAAAGAGACCAACATCCACCTCACTACAATCGCCTTTCAGGTGGTTGTAGAGAGTGATAAGATCTCCCCTCAGCCTCCTTTTCTCCAGGCTAATCAACCCCAGCTCTCTCAGCCGCTCCTCATATGCCTTGTGCTCCAGACCTTTCTCCAACTTGATAGCTCTTCTTTGGACACACTCCAGCACCTCAATGGCTTTCTTGTAGTGAGGGGCCCAAAACTGAGCAGAGCATTTGAGATGTGGTCTCACCTGCTGAGTACAGAGGGACACTCACTTCCCTAGTCCTGCTGGCCACACTGTTTCTGATACAATGAAATACAGGACCTCTGCATAGGATTCCTTCTACCCTCCATGGTATCTAAACATGGGCCTACTGAACTCCTTGTCCAAACAGATCCTGCAATTACATGTTTCTCGGTGGTTTCCTTCCATCTTCCAAACTCCTGAAGTTTTCTGGTCTGCAGTTACCTTGCCTGCTAAAATACTCGGTGTGTTTATTGTCCTCTATAGGAGACAGTTGTGAAGTGGGCCACCTAAGTTATAGCATTGCAAAGAAAAAGATTCCTAGAAGGTGGAAATTAAAAGAACATAAAGAGCACTTTCTTAGTGCCAATATTTAGAGACTTCTGTAGAATAAAAATACTGAACTTCTGAGCAGCAGTGTTTTGTGAAGCATATTTCATAGAAGAATGTTGCCAGGCAGTTTTTAAATATAACTTTTTTTCCTGCATTTTTAACTGTAGACTAGTAAGGATACAAATTCTCACTGATGCCATTTCATAGTTGGCAGTGGATAAAAAGGGCCAAAAAATTTGACTTACGTACCTGTTGAAAATCAAGTCCCTTTAAGTCTTTCTCTAGTGATGCTATATATACTTAACATAACACTAAGGAGTTTGGAAACAGACACAAAATTAGAAATAGTCATCTAAAGACTGATCTCTGGGGTAATGGGTGTTGTAGCACTAATTTGTTAAACTAGAAATGTAAGCTTTTTTCTTTTTAGTTTGCGTCACATTATGTTTTAAGATCTTTGGGAAACAGTATTTCTTTGTGAACAAGTGTCGTGGGTTAGACTACTCCGGCAACCAAACCCTACACAGTCGCTCACTCACCCTCCCTCTCTCTCATCCCTGGGGGTGGGGATGAAAGAGGAAAAAGACAAGAGACCTGTGGGTTGAGACAAGAACAATTTACTACTGCCGCTACCAATATCTATATGTACGGATATGTACAAGGATAAATATATTCAAACGAGTGATGTACGGTGTAATTGCTCACCACCCCTTGATGGAGGCCCGTCTCATCCTGAAGCTGCAATCCCGAAACAGACAAAACCCGATACCACAATCCCGGATGAACGGGAGGCCCGAAATAGACAGCGAGAGAGAGAGAAAGCACTCTGAGAGTCTGAAAGTGAGAGTCCCAGAAGGGCAAAAAGCCCTTCTTTCCGGCTGACCCTCACTTTTATACTGGCATGACGCTGCATGGCATGGAATACTTATTGGCCAGTTTGGCCTCAATCCTAAGTCCAAGTACAAATCGTAAGGAGAGTCGTGGACCCCTTGTCCCAGCCATGCTCCCCCCTTATCCTGTTGTGCTCCTGCACACTGGCAAGAACATGGCAGCTGAAAAGTTCGTGAGACCTCAGTGCCAACTACAAACATCAGCTTGCTATCAACATTCTTCTCAGAGCGAGCCTCTGAGTAAAACCAAAACACGGAGCTCTTCTAGCTGCTAAAAAGAAGAGCTAACTCTGTCCCAGCTAAAACCAGGACAACGATGTGATTTCTGTCTTTACCATAGGACAAAATCAACTATTATGATTATTTTTCTGTATATTTTAATAACGTTCTTTTTATGTTACCAGTAGTGTCTGGGACTTCATTGAAATAAGTTTTGGCTAATAATTACTTTTTACCACAGCCTTCTTTTATTTCTTTTAGGCTTATGTATGTATGGAGAGAACATTGACCAGCCCTACGCTTCAGTTCTTTCAAACTCCTCAGGCCTACGTTAGGCAGCCAGTTCAAGTGAAAAGTTTGTTGGCCCTGTCTGCTTTGAAACCCAGAGGCTTCAGGCAGCACTGTATCATCAGTGATAACCTCTTTTTAACTGAAGTTGCAGGGCACTGTGTTCCAGTTCCCTTCACTGCTTTGCTGATTGCTTCTGATTTAGGTGTTGGAAACTTGACATTCCTCTAACACGTAGTGTAGCATTTCCCAAGCGACAAATTTTAGCCCTGTCACACATATAATGTGCAGATTAGCACTCACATTTGGACCAGACTTCAAGTATTTTCTCTTAACCTTTCTTAAATCTTCTCATTGGTTGCCTGCAATTCACTGCAGTGCGATTAAACAGATGAGACTGATCACCATGAACATTAGCTAGTAACTCTACTCTTCTTTCAACCTTTGGGTATATCTGGCCAGACATAAATTCCAGGTGGATGTGTTTGGTTCTGACAGCTGATTATTTTCTCTTGCAGTTCAGACAGCTTGCAAAAAAATCAGGCCTTGGAATTTGAAAGGAACAAAGAAAGGTTTGAATTCTTAAAGGTACTGAAAGAATTAATCCTATTTGCATGGAGAAAAGTGCAATAAACGGAAGTTCTTCCAGTGCTCATGTGCACTAAAAATTTTTGACACCAATTCCTTCTGTTTCAGTGGGGCTCTCAGGCTTTTAAAAACATGAGGATTATTTCACCAGGCTCTGGGATCATCCACCAAGTGAACTTGGAGTACTTGGCAAGAGTGATGATGGATCAGGACGGCTACTACTATCCAGACAGTGTGGTGGGCACTGACTCACACACCACCATGATAGACGGCTTGGGAGTGCTTGGCTGGGGTATGTGCAGTAGCGTATCGTGAGTAGCCTGTTGGCTGACTAAGCTGTGTTTCAGACTCTGGTGAGTTGACCTTGTCTGGCAGGTTAGCCCCCACTCAATTGCTCGCACACTCCTGCCAGCAGGATGGGGGAAGAGAATTGGAGGGCAAATGCAAGAAAAAACTCATGAGTTGAGACAAAGAGAGTTTAATAAGTGAAGGGGGGGAAAGAAAAAAAGGAAACAAAAAGCAAGTGATGCAAAGACAATCAGCTGCCAGCTCCCACCAGCACACCAAAGACCAGCCACGGGCTGGGCAACGGCTGCTTTGGAAGAATTCCACGCTCCCTGCCCTGCCTCCTAGTTTTAATGCTGCACATGATATTCTATGGCGTGGAATATCTCTTCAGTTAGAGTCAGCTGTCCCAGCTGTGCCCCCTCCCAGTGTCTTGCCCACCTCAGCTTACTTGCTGAGGGGCAGAGTGAGAAACAGAAAAGACAGCGACACTGCGTAAGCACTGCTTAGCAATAGCTAAAACATTGGTGTCTTACCAACACTGGTTTGGTCACAAACCTAAAACATGACACTGTATGGGTTGCTGTAAAGAAAAGTTACCTCCATGCCAGCCAGAGACAGTACATAGACTAACCCCAAATTCGAGGAACCTGATAAGGTCTCCTACAGTTATTTAAGACTTTGTGACTAAGCTCCCCGTTCCGATAACAGCCTCAGATGATTTCTGGTGCTTATGTTGTTAGTTGGCTTTTTTTAATATATATTTTCTATTCTGCATTTAAATCACAAGGAAGCAGGCAAGGAAAGATGCTTTCAGAAGTCTTGTTAAATATTTCAGTTGTTTGGGAAGGCAACAGGGTTGAAGCATCACTGAACATCCGTTTATTCCTTAGTCACTTAGCTACTTTCAAGGTGTTGTCGTATGAAAAAGTACTGCAAATGGTCTGTTAGATTGAAAATGCTGAAAGTTGAATCTGAGTGAGTTAAGTATGGCCAGAGAGGCCATTGTGAAAGAAGCACTATGAAGTATGTTCTAATACCAGTATTCTGCAGAGTACTTGTTGTAGAAATAAATACAAATAATTCATTTTTTTGCTTGTAGTGGCAAACTGCAGTATTTGAATTATTGACTAAATAAGTGGTATGAAACGATAGTATTTGCATTCACCTCACACATGGTAGCAAAAACTTCAGTTGAGTTTTTTATCTTCCTGTGATACAGTGATAGGAGCCCTACTGAAATAGATAATGTACAAATACAGAAAATGTGTTTTAAAACAGCATATGCTAGTTGTTCACAAAGATGCTTGTCGAGTTCTGAGTACCACATGTGCTAGAAGTAGTATGTTGCGTTTTTTCTATCCCACCTATACTACTGTAGCAATATTAGTCGATTGAGACTTTCTGTCAAGGGCGGATTTCTGGCTTGGAATACAAATGTACAGAAGTTCACTGTATTTAAAATCATGACACCTATGGGTTAAGAGATGTCTCATTTATTCTGTATTTGGTTGCACTTTACCCATGGAGCTGTCACCTAGATGACATTGCAACACCAATAGCTGCTTGGAAGAGTGTGTCTGTAAACCTAACATACCCAAGAGTCAGGCCACTGAGGAACATCAGAACAATCAGCAGGTGGATCAGGCTGCTAAGACTGAAGTGGCTCAGGTCATGAACTAGCAACCTAAGGGTGAATAATTTTTAGTGCGGTGGGCCCATGACATTTCAGGTCATGAAGGAAGAGACACAACATATAGATGGGCTTGTGACCGAGGGGTGGATTTCAGCAGGGACATTATTGCACATGCATGCACGGGTCATGCATGAAGGTGAAACATGTACCGCAATTAAACAAGTCAAACAGTTTTTATTTAAAAAAACTGTTTATTTAAACTAATAAACTCTTTATTTAAACTAATAAACTGGTTAGTTTATTAGTTTAAATAATCTGATTTATCAGATAGTTTTTCCACAGCCAAGACACTGGCCCATGTGGGGGAAGAGAGACTGCATACTGCTGCATTCGGTAACTGATGTCATGTGCCGTTGGTACGTCATTCTCTTTCCAGCCAAATAATACAAATATGTTGGTGTACAATGGTGGTGCAGCCTGTACCCACCTGTGCCATGGGAGTCCAGTAAGATTGAGTGCATCTGGATCTAGTGGTGTCTGTGGGATGTCTACATCAGCAAAAATCAGCTCCCGCACAACTGTTTCCCTCGGGTTCTTAATACCTCTTGCAATGGTGATCCGCTTGCTTGGGTGGTATACAACATCATCCCGAAAGGGGTACCTGTTCTTCACACTTAATAGGAGGCATCTCCAGAGAGTGAGGGAATGTGCCTCTTTTCCCCATCAATACCTACTTCTCTAGCCAATCTCAACTGCTTGGTTTCTCCACCCTCTAATTCCAAACCATTGGCTCTATTATCCCAGCATCGGAGCATCCAGGTAGTAAGTTGCTTGCCATCATGATGGCTGTAATCTTTGCATGTATCTCACAGCTTACTTAGGGATAGAGATCAAGCGGTTCCCTCTGGCTCTTCCTCCTGTGATCTCCCCGATTGACCTTTGTGATGTGCTCTTTTTGTGTTCTTCTGTACAGGGGCGACTGATACTGGCACAGGTTGATTGTCAGGGTTAGTTGCAATGCTTGTCGCCGAGGTCGGAGTAATCACAGCAGTCCAGTAATCGCCTGGACTTGAGTGGTTGCAGCACTTGTTGCAGGAATTTGAGTAGCCGCAGTAGCTGGCACCAGGGTTTGTGTAGCCACAGCGCCTGGTGCTGGCGTTTGTATATGGCACCCGCGTTTGCACTGAGCACGAGTAGCAGATGGGGTGGAACAACTGTAGCAGGACCTGGGGTCTGAGTAGCCGTAGCAGGTAGCCCTAGTACTTGTTCTGGAGGTCGGCATAGCCACAGTGCCTGTTGCGGGGTCTGAGGCAGTGGCTGGGGTAACACCAACACAGAATTGGCAGATGGTCTAAAACGCTCTGTTACTCCTAAGCAAAACCAAAGCCTGACACATATTCAGAAGACCGAGTACCAGAATCGTGGTAGTTCAACGACTCCAAAGATATTGAAAATTCTCAAAAGCTTTTGTGAACGTTGTGAAGGAGAAGGGTAGGGCGAAGAGGGACCTTCCTCCCGGGCAGTGACTCCCCAGGACGCAGCCGGTATAATTGGTAGCAACGTCCGCCAGGCAGCGCCCAAAGCGCAGGGTGCGGGGCCGGCCCTGCTCCCCGGGGACCCGTCAGCGATTCCCTTTGTCAGCAGAATGACTGTCCCCATCCAACACCTGGAGAGGGTAAGCCCTGTATGAATACTGACCAACAGCAACTGAGGGGCTGCGTAACACAACTCCAAGAGGACCTCTGAGAGCAAATAAAATGACATTCTGGCCAGTGACGTCCAAAGAAACATAATGAATACTCATAGCAAATTTGTTTTAATGCACTCTGGTCAAATCTGTCATTATCTCAATCCTTCAGGCCTCTCAGATTAAAAGTCTGTGGTCCTTTCAGGTGAGCTATTTTATGTTGGAGAGAAATAAACTGTCTACCTGTAGCTGGTATCCAGGGCTAAACAATAGCCAGCTGTTCTATTACCCAGTGACCTCTCACCACTCAAGAAGGAGAATCAGGAAAAGGAAGGAAACACGTGAGTTGAAATAAGAGCTATTTAATAATTGAAATAAAATAAAATGGAAAATAACAATGAAAAAACATACAGACAGGTGATGCATGGTGCAATTGCTCACCACCCCTTGACCAATGTCCAGCCCGTTCCGAGCTAGTGATTCCGGAGCAGGAAAATCCCAAAACCGCAACCCAGAAAGAGAGAGAGAGTAGGCCTCGGAAGCAGAATGACAAGTGAGACCCTCCAGGGATGACGGCCATTGAAAAAAAGAGACCATCCTCAATACACTTTCCAATTTATAGTGATGTCCTGGTTTTAGCTGGGACAGAGTTAGCTCTTCTTTTTAGCAGCTAGAAGAGCTCCGTGTTTTGGTTTTACTCAGAGGCTCGCTCTGAGAAGAATGTTGATAGCAAGCTGATGTTTGTAGTTGGCACTGAGACATCAAGGACTTTTCAGCTTGCCGTGTTCTTGCCAGTGTGCAGGAGCACAACAGGATAAGGGGGGAGCATAGCCGGGACAAGGGGTCCATGACTCTCCTTACGATTTGTACTTGGACTTAAGATTGAGGCCAAACTGGCCAATAAGTATTCCATGTCATGCAGCGTCATGCCCAGTATAAAAGTGAGGGTCAGCCGGAAAGAAGGGCTTTTGTCCTTCCGGGACTCTCACTTTCGGGTGCTCAGAGTGTTTTCTCTCTCTCTCGCTCTCTGTCTCGGGGCCTCCCGTTCGTCCAGGATCGTGGTATCGAGTTTTATCTGTTTCGGGATTGCAGCTTCAGGATGAGATGGGCCTCGGTCAAGGGGTGGTGAGCAATTACACCGTACATCACTCGTTTGCATATGTTTATCCTTGTACATATCTGTATACGTATATATTGGTAGCGGCAGTAGTAAATTGTGCTGATCTCAACCCACGGGTCTCTTTTCTTTTTCCTCTTTGATTCTCTCCCTCATCCCTGAGGTGTGGGAGGGTGAGAGAGGGATTGTGTAGGGTTTGGTTGCCAGAGCAGCCTAACCCACGACAAGTCTTACATGGTATGGAGTACCCATTTGCCAATTCAGGTGTCAGTCGCTCTGGCCATGCTTCTTCCAGGTTCTTGGACATCTAGTTTGTTAGGAAAAACAAGTTGAAAAGTCCTGGAGCACTGTGGATACCTGCATACCACAGCAGGATGCAGGCTAAAACAAAGTGTCTTACCAACTTTGTTCTCACCGAATCAAGTGCTGCAGTCTTCTTACAAATGCAGCTTACTTTAGAAATGTAGTTTTTCTGAGCAGAAAATTGATTCTGTGATTCTATCCCAAGGAAACCAGGACAAGTAGTCACTTGAATTACGTTCCTCTAATACTGGAGGTGTGCTTACACAACAGTTCCCACCTGCACATACCCAAGCCGTGTTGAAACTTATTAGATGTAAGGAAGATATTTCTGTCTTAACAAGTAGCTTTTCTTTTAGTATTCTTTAGAACTGTTTGTCTTGACTCTAATAATCTTTCCTTCCTGCAAAATAAGTTTTTGTTTGGTGACCAATAATCATGATCTGCATACGTTTCAGTCATAGCACACCATGTTCAATGCCATGTCAGTCATTCTTTGTTTATGCATTGCATGATTCAGTTATTAAATCAAAGTTTTGTATCTGTTATTATAAAAGCCAAGCATCTTCAGAGTAAGTTGCTTAGATTTGCCTAATATCCTGTCTAATGGCTGAGGAACAAGGATAAAAGTATGAAACGGAAAGAAATTAAAAAGCTCAACCTAGCAGAAACTGAAGCAAGATGAACACCTCTTAGCAGAAGGCTAAGCCCTCTGGCTGTGTGCCTTCTCTCCCCTTTCACACCTTAAGTTGAGTAATCATCAGTCAATTGTACTTCATGCATTTATCCTTGATGTTTTACTATCTGTCTCAAAGGTTGGTTCATGTATTTCTGTTGCCTACAGGTGTCGGTGGCATTGAAGCAGAAGCAGTCATGTTGGGCCAGCCGATCAGCATGGTGCTTCCTGAGGTGGTTGGCTATAAGCTTCTAGGAGACCCTCATCCACTGGTAACATCCACTGACATTGTGCTCACCATTACCAAGGTAATGAACATGTCTACTGTTTTGCCATTACTGCTGGAAGCTATGGATATACTAAAGGACAGACCCACTGTACTGCGTGCTAAGGAGCTCTGTGTGTGATTCCATGTAGTCCTTGTGGACTTTTTTTAAGCTTTTTTGCACTGTGTGGGTTGGAATCGGCTGCCCAAGGACAACTGCAAATTCGCTAGACAAATCTGTTTCCCGGAAGCCAGACAAAATAGAACAGAGAGATGATATCTTTATGGCCTGTTCAAATCCTCATGTGCAGGCCTGTTTTGGGACAAGACTACTTTTAAAAGGATCTTGTTTCTCTACTGCCTCAAGACAAACACGATGACTTTCTTTTTTGAAGTCCTCACTTAATATAAGACAATGTAAAACCTGAAAACAGACAGTAAGCGCTGCAGTCTGATTTCTTTGATCTGCAGGTTTTTGACTCACATGTGGTATGTTCATAATATGTTTTTCCACTTTGTGGGTTGTGACTGAATTAAGAATATTACTGGATTGGCATTAATGTTTTTGGAGGTCAGAAAACTGGTACACATGTTCATCATGGGATGCTGTCTCTACAGAGAACCCCTAAATGGGGAAATCCAATGTTTTCTTTTATGAGTTCATCCAGATATTGTGTGTGTTCAGTCAGTCATTCACAGTTTGGTTCATGTACTTGTGCAGTTGGTTCTTCCTGTTTCCCCATCTTGCTGGGTTTGCTGGCTAAAAACCCCACACTGTTCTCCTCTCCTTAGAACATAGATTTGTTCTAGTTTAAATGAGAGGAGGAGCAAGTTTAGAAGGAATACATCCCTGTGGTGTACCTTGTTATTGAAACTGTACGTCTCTGTGTCCTCGTCTTTGTGATTTAGTTTACCAGAATATCCTGGTTTCAAATGGCTATAGAAACCTTCAAAAAGTTTCTTTGAAGTTGAAAGCTAGATTTCATAACATAGATGCTTAGGTCATTTAACACCTAGCAATAACACAGGCACTGTATTTTTGTAACAGCACCTTCGCCAAGTTGGAGTTGTGGGTAAATTCGTGGAATTTTTTGGTCCCGGTGTAGCCCAGCTGTCAGTTGCTGACCGAGCCACCATTGCCAATATGTGTCCAGAGTATGGAGCAACAACTGCCTATTTCCCAGTGGATGATATTAGCATTGGGTATCTGATACAAACTGGTGAGTGTGAGACCATGAGTTAAAGGTGTAATTGAAAGCAAGGACTCCAGGTCCATATGGTGTAGTCAGCAATGGCGTTGAAGCAGGTGGAGCCTTCTGAGCTTGAGTGCTTTTTTTTAGTCCGTATTTGCTTATTCAGGCTGTTTATTGCAATTAAGGTCTATGTTTAGGAAGAGCTGAGTTTTAGACCGTTTCGCAGCTAACTGCCTGCTTAGCTCTGCCCAAACCTGGCTGGTCCTGATGACAGAAGCAGGAAGCTAAGTTTTGCTTCTGCAAAAGCCACTAATTCTGCTAAATCACTTTGTTTCTAGTGATCTCTGAAAGAGTCTTGTACTGCAGTGTACAGTGTGAAGAGTGAAATAGCCTGTTACGTATTTTTTTCTTTTTCCATTACATAGTAGTTCCTCAGCTTCATTTGCATTTTGTTTTTGCTATATCTGGCTTTCACCTTAGGCCGTGATAAAGAGAAAGTTATGTGCACAAAAAAGTATCTTGAGGCCGTGGGAATGCTAAGAGATTTCAAGAACACCTCTCAGGATCCAGACTTCACACAGGTTAGAAACTACTCTGTCTTCTGGATACTTGCTTTATGCGCTGCCCTGTTTTAATGTGACAATTGTCTGTTTTTTACAGAAACCAAGAAATAGTCAAAGGTGTCCTTTGGCTTGGTCCACACAGCTGTCTTAACTTAGGGCCCAGTGGAATGAGTCAGCTGGCTCTCCAGGTCTGAAAACTTGGGCACAGATATAGATTGGATCTCAGTTGAGCTCTAGCTGGTGCAGATTCTGTGATACGATCTGTGTAGAAGTCCAGCCCAGATTCAAACACAGCTATGGAGATAGTGTGGATGTTGTCTGTGTAAGCCTTGTCCCAGTTTTACCCTTCTTCTGTTCAGCAACTTACTTTACTGTGTGAATCAGGACACTTAGAGGCTCTGTGTGGTAACAGCAGACCACTCTAGCTGTTTTCTGTGCAAGAAAATCAATATCTTACTCTGTCCAGGAAACTCAAGAATATCCCTGGTTTTCTCTACAGTAAGAATTTCTCTTGTAACTTATGTTTGGGTTTGCATGATCATTCAGAAATCTTAGTAAATATGGAAAGATGCAGCACACTATAAAACCAAAGTTGAAACATGGGTGAAGAATGGGAAAATGTGAGAATCTCTGTTTCACAATAGACTGAATGTTTTCCCCAAGGCCAAGATGAATAGTCTGCTTTGGTTTATGCCAGTACCAGGTTTTTTTCACATCATTGTTTTCTAAAGAGGACCCTGCTGCTAGCGTGTGAAAGGACATAATTCTCAAAACTATCTACATTGTTTAGATGCTTTAGTCACACACTGGATTTTCAGTAACCAGGGTACTTTTGAGAGCCATACCTGGGACCTGGCAGAGTCTAAAAGTAGAACTGTTCCTTTTCTTCTAATCTTTCCCTTCTGGTATGACTTTGATAATTTCTGCAAACGAACATAAAGACGTGCAGATTTAGCCTTGGTTTAACAGCAGAGGTACACTTTGCTTTAACAACAGAGGTACACCAGTACCTGTGGCTTAACTGGCTTCAACTTGTCGTGCAGTGCTGAACCACTCTCTCTTCCTCTTACTGATAGGTTGTTGAGTTGGATCTCCGTACTGTTGTGCCTTGCTGCAGTGGACCAAAAAGACCTCAGGACAAAGTTGCTGTGTCAGATATGAAGAAGGACTTTGAGACTTGTCTGGGAGCCAAGGTAGGGACTAGGAACGTTTGGGCATACAAGCTAATGTGTGCTTCTAAAAGTTGTCTAGCATTCAGGAACTATGTTCTAGGGTTAACTTGTGTATTGTTTGTTAAACTGTTGAAAAGTAAATGAGGATGTTTGAATACAGTTTAGAAGATTAAATCAACAATGGGTAGTTTAAAGTCGGGGTGATACTTCTCTTACATGAAGGTGTTCATCTCCTATTGAAGTAGTAGTTCTTTCTGATTTTACATCAGTCTTAGGCCTGACATGGTTTTGATATACACTAGGGATTTCTGAACTAGCCACAGTGGGTGTTGTTAGTAGAGCGGACCAAGTAGCTACTGCACTGAGCTCAGTGCTAACTACCCAGCTCTTCAGCTTTCCAAGCAAGTTATGCCCTGCGCTCCACAAGGTAGTTTTGCATTCTGTACCAAATCCATTCAGCAGTTCAGAACTGCATGTGTCTCTGTGATTCTTTGATGTTGGTGGTAAAGACAGAAAAAAAAAAGACTTCTCTCTGCATCACCCAGTCAAAAAAGGTCATCAAAAGAAGAACAAGATTTTAATTTGAGTTAATATGCTCAGACACTTATGTTTCCAAAATCTGTTTGAATCCTTACCTGATACGCTAACTGCCCTTGTTAAAGGCAATACATAACTCTAGTGATGTAAAACAAGAAACTTAAACTACAGCAATTCCCAATAATTCTTGTTTTTATTATGTGTTCCAAACTCCAATAAATGCCCTTATGCTTTCAGATCTCTAAGCATTATTTTTCATGGTGTGAACAGTGCCTTCTAGCTCTTTGGTTTTTTTCAACTGTCAGGCTTTTGCCTCTCAAGTCAGCTCTTAAACTTAAGTTTGAGCTGTTTGATATTCATGGCTTAAAAATCTTATGGCTAAAATCTCAGGACTAGATTGTGTTCTAAGACTGTATGTGGTCAGGAATCTGGAGCGCATGGGAGCAAGAGGAATCTGAGCAATCTGAAGAAGGATATATTCATGGAGAAAGAAAGCACAAATACATTTTGCTGCGAAGGCTGCCTCTTTTGCCAGTGAACAGAGAATAGGATAGACTCCAGAAAAATAATTTCTGTCTGCCACTTGGACTGACCAGAGGTGCAAGCCTTCACCAGCAGACCTAAAAGTGCAAGCATGGATATGACTGGCAGACGCTTCTCATTTGTGAAATTCCCAGCCCATACTAATTTCCAGTCAAAATATTTATATTAACCACATCCTTTTGATTCTTACTTTCTCCTCCTACAGCAAGGATTCAAGGGATTCCAAATTGCCCCAGACCAACACAACAGCACAGTCAAATTTAATTTTGAGGGCTGTGACTTCGAGATTACTCATGGTTCAGTAGTGATTGCTGCCATTACAAGCTGTACAAACACCAGTAACCCCTCAGTTATGCTGGGAGCAGGTAAGTTTGTTTGCGTATTGTGCACTGGTTTCTCTATAGCTCTGGCTCTGTGTCCTAAAGACAAATACAACAGTGATGTAATTCTGCATGCACAGTGCTGTTTTTGTCATTTGGCGTGCTAAAACTGAGCTTAGTCCCTAAGGGTAGCAGAAGGAATTCTGGAAATGGTAGCTAGAAATGTGGCTTGAAAAAAAATGTATTTTTCCTGCACTGTCTTCTCTACAAGGCAAGCTGAAACTGAATTAACTAGCACCTCTGATACTTGTTCAAACACACAGAAACTGTTGTTTAGAGCTGAGGAGAGGCTATCGAAAGTCAGAGCCACAAGAAGAGGGACAGTGAAGAACGGTCTATGGGTTTAAGTCTGAAGGTGCTCTGATCTGGCCGCAGAGTACAAAACACACACTTAGCTAGCAAGTTATTACAGCAAGAGTCTGAGGGAATGTGGGGGGTGAGTAGAGGAAGAAAATTGTGTTCTCTGGGAATGGAAATCCCAAATGGCATCTTTCAGAACCTTGTCATTTACATCTTAACTGTATCCCAGAAGTGGTTGGAGGTGGGCTTTGCATCCCTTGCTTACTTGCTTATCACCATTCAAATACTACCAAAACAGTAGTCTGAGTTGGTTGTGTTAAATTTCAGGTCAGGAGGTTGTTCGTTTTCGACTTGGCTAGTCTGAGCAGAAAATTTCTCATTGCAAACATGTGCTTCTGGCAACAAAATATCAAAGAGAGCCAGCTCAACAGGTTCAGTTCAGGCCTCTTTGCCAGGTGCTTGGCTACATGCTCACATATTTCTTTCTCTCCTCCATAAACATATACATAGACATTATCTGTCACTGAAAGATCATCACTGCATTAGGGCTTCCTAGTCTGTCAGACTGTTTGTAGGATGCAGGCTTATTTTCTACAAAGGTTGGAAGGGACGTGCAATGGGTAATGGAAGGGCCCTTGACCAGAGAGGATTACTTACTGATCGTAGTCACGTAATTTGTCTCCTTTGTTCCTGTGTGGTACTGGGAAGATCTTGGCTTGTGGACAGCCTCTGACAACAATCACTTTGTATTTAGTTCTTCAAAGTGATATTTGTCACCTGTTCTTGGACTGGCATCTTTCTTTGGGTACTCTACAGTACTGGTAGCTCACCCCCTTCCCAGGCACAAAAGGTCTTTTAATTCCTAGCAACAGAGACAATGTGCATCATAAACCAGGATGTGGGATGGAAAGGGAAGTGGAGGAGAGACCTGCTTTCTTACCCCTTTGAGAGGAACAGAATTGAACAGAGTGTCCCAATTCATTTGCCCTTGACAGGACAGCCAAATTGGCATACTTCTTTTGTCAGGTCCATCCTGATTATGATCAGAGAAATAGAGCTGTATTTCTTTCAAAGGTCAAGAAGTAGGTTTCTTCCAGGCAGATTATCTTAACCCTCTCCTATTACCTTAGTTCTAGGTGGGTGTATCCCTTGATTGTGCCACCTGCTTAGGATATAATTTCATCAAGTGTTTGGCTTCCAGGCTGATGGCATGTGGTTTTAACCTTCTCGGTGGCAGTGGGGATGCTGATCTTTCAGCTTGCTGGGCTTAATAGCTCTGTGGGTTTAAAGTGTAGAATCCTCTGCAGACACAAGTACAGTTGGTACTTTGAACAAGTTCACTACTACTTAATGCACAGCAGCCTGGAGAACATAGTCCTAAGGATCTCAGTGTATGCACTCAGATTCAGGGATACTGTTAACCTTTGCTCCCTTTGTACAGCGGCGCTTATGCTTTGAGCTCAACAAGAAGTAAAAAAGTAATTCTGTGAGTCTCTGGTAACTGTTCGTACAGTACCATGGTTGTTGAGAACCTCTGAGATACCCACAAGAAACATCGTAATGTGGCTTTCAAAGTAGGGTTTGAAATGAAAGTGAATAAAATACACAGTGCTCTCATACTAAGTAACCAAGCTAAAAGAAATCCAAAATATGTATAGTTGTTTCAAACTACCTCTGTATATCCTGTGCATGAAATGATGTGCAGGGACTGTGAGTCTGTGCGGATAGTGAGTGTATGCTTGTAGTAGCCTTGACAGCCTAACCTGACTTTACGAAAGTGTTGGATTAAGGTTGCTCAAAGCAACTGAAGTTCTGGCATTTCCCTGCCAGTTTTTAGAGTTTGACTTTGCATTCTTTTCAGAACTGTTATTGGCAGAAAAACAGACTCTAACACATTTCAAGAGTCTGCCACGCTCTTGGGTTTTAGGACTATCATTTGTTTGTTGTCAGTTTTCAAAAGCATCCAAGAGCTTCGGTTTCCACAGCTTCCTCTGACAGCTAAGGAGCCTCAGCAATTTCAGGAATAGGTCTGCTTTTTAAAATTCACATATCTATCTCTAGGCCTCCAAATCTATTGGTAAGATTTGGCCTTCTTACACAACACTTAAAAGTGGAGGTGTCCAGGTCATGTCTAACAGAGCTGCCAAACAGCTGGCAAAAACAGGAGTTTGATGACATCATCCTGTTGGAGATCATGTTGGATCAAAGTAGAGCTGATGTATATTTTCTTATCTAAGTGGATGTGTGAGAGAAAGAACGAATGGGAATGTGAAGTTTTGCATAGTTTGCATAGCTGCTGCTTCTTTTTTGTCCATCCTGGGAAAGGGCTGGAGGGGACTTGTTCTCTGAACATTCATCTTTGTATGAGCAATTCATTTAAAAGGAAGAAATTCAAGATAAGTGTATTTCTGGTGACGCATACACTTCACTAAAATGTCTCTATGTGAGTTACAAATCCAGAAGTAGCAAAGCAGCGCTCCTGCAACAAACTTAGATTGTGAGGTAGCTCGTTTGTGACAAGGGACAGAACTGGTGCTTTTATAGCCATCTGCTTCTGAGAACACTGAGTCATATGTTGGCAGTTATCGAGGCACTGGGTCACTAGACCACCGTAAGTGGGAAGTTAACAATTCTTCATTGCATTTTGTGTGAGATGCTTGTCTTACAAATAGTATTTGTTTAACTATTTGAGTCGTGAATGTCTAAGTGCTGCCCCAGTGTGCATGCATCTTGTGGAATGCAACTTCCAAAAACTTTCCAGTGGAGCAGAAATTGCAGACTGGATCTACAGTTCAACAGAGCACTTGAGCTTTAGCTGGTTATTCTGAGATTAGTGCTGTTGGCTCACTGTACCGTTTTGCTGCTGGAAATGGAGCCTTTTCTGTTTTCCAGTTATTTAATGGTACTTCTAACCTGTTGATCCCTCAAACTGTCCCACTTCCAGGAAAAAACGCAACTGTCCTTTGCATTTTTCAGGATTGCTTGCTAAGAAAGCTGTTGAAGCTGGTTTGACAGTGAAGCCATACATTAAAACTAGCCTGTCCCCAGGAAGCGGGGTTGTCACTTACTATCTGAGGGAGAGTGGAGTTATGAGTTACCTCTCCCAACTAGGGTAAGAGTGCTTTTCATACTGTTGTCCTGTAGGTGCTTAACTAAAAGCATTGACAACAAGCGATGCAATAGAGTAACTATTTCTCTGTACAACTTAAATGATATGGCAGGTATCCTATGGCACGATCCTGTATGAGTTAACACATTGCTGTTGTGCTAGCTGACTTTGTGCCATGGAGGGAGAAGGCCTGTTGCCTGCTGTAGCTTCTTGAAGACTAATATTCTCAAGTAGGAAAATGACTTATTTTTCAAGAGTAATGGCCTTCTTACCAAAAGCATTTTTTTAAACCAGAAGTTTCAAAATAGCATAAATGACACTGTACTGTTGTTCATCTTGCTAGATAACACATCTCCCACATCTTCATTCTGTGTGCATGGACAGTGACTGCAATGATAAAAATTGAGTGAGCATTCTCAAAAATGCTGTTTTCATCACGATTCATTTGTTAAAACAGTACGTCTTCTGAAAGTAACTCTAGCCAACTGCTAATGTCTTCATTTTGTTCACTGATGATTTTTGTGCTCTGTTTAGGTTTGATGTGGTGGGTTATGGCTGTATGACATGTATTGGCAATAGCGGACCTCTACCAGAGTCGGTTGTTGAGGCCATTACACAGGTATGCAGCTTTTCCTGTGCAGTTTATTTAGGTAAGCTGTTCTCTGTTGTGTGCTGTTCTGAGCTGTGTTACACTTCGCACTAACTCTCCTCAGCTGAGTGCAAAGTAAATTCAGTCTATATTCTCTTTTCTGCGGGAAGTACTTTGGGATTATTTGGAAGGAGACAGTTCTGTGACTGTCCAGTCATTGATGTTGCAGCACAGCACAGGTCTGGAGACCTGCTGGGTGTATGGAGTCTGAAAGCACCTCAGCTACCTTCGTCTCAAACTTTTTCTTGCAGGGAGACCTCGTAGCAGTGGGTGTGTTGTCTGGCAATAGGAATTTCGAAGGGCGTATCCATCCCAACACCCGTGCTAACTACCTAGCCTCCCCGCCACTGGTAATAGCCTATGCAATTGCAGGGACTGTCCGGATTGACCTCGACAAAGAGCCTTTGGGTAAGACAGTGTCAGGATGCTTCTTTGCACAGCTTATAAATTAAACTGGTTGGAATTAAGCTCTTCAGAGACATTTGTCCAAGCAAGATGCTTCAAATGACTGAGTACCTCTGGGATACGAAGCATGCAGTTGTTAAGAAACAGAGTAACAAGGCATCTGTATGATGGAGAAAAAAGAAATCCAAGCCTGACGGGTACTCTAATTCCACAGGGACATTTTTTTGGTTTTGTCTGGTCCTGAGCAACCTGACCTATCAGACTTTCTTTGAGCAGGTAGTTCAGTTAAACAACCCTCAAAAATGCTTTTCAACCTAAATTAGTCTATAAATTATTCTGGAAGGCCATTGGAAGTCGCAGGAAAAGGTGTATGTACAGACATCATCAAGTCTATGAGGCCCTCTTCTGTCAGACCCTTGTAGGCAACATAAGTGTGTTTCATGAGTGTTGACAAGGTTACAAAGAGCACATAGCTAAAGGACACCATGATAAAGTTTTTCTTTCTTTCTTAATGGAAAATTTATGCAACAAACATAACAATACCATTTTCTACAGGAACAAGTGCTTCAGGGAAGAAGATTTTCCTCAAAGATATCTGGCCAACAAGGAATGAGATTCAGGCTGTTGAGCATCAGTTTGTTATTCCTGGGATGTTCAAGGAGGTCTACAAAAAAATAGAGGTGAATTAATCTTCTGGGCAGTAGTTTGATTGATGTACTGTGCTAGTCTGAAGATGTTTAATAAGCTGGTCTTGATAATGAAATGAACTTTTTCCTTCTACTTTTGTTGCTCCTGTTCTGACAAGTATTCAAATGAGATGTGTTTTTTTTTAATGGCTTCTGATTAATTAATTGGTTCTTACAGCCAGTTGTGTCCTGAAAATTGCACCTTAATGATTTTTTTAATGTAATGTACAGATTATGTGTTTTAAAGAGTCATCCAAGGCTGATATTAGAAAGTGAAATGTATCAGCTTCACAGATGTTTTTTTTTTTTTCAGCTGACATTAAATTCATTTGCCTTATTTAATAGCATTTACATCACGAAAAAACTGGTACTTGGTAATGTCTTCCTGCAAGCCTTTCTCAGGTATTGAAACAAAATGTTCTTCAGGTTTACATGTTAGGAAAGCTTCTTAAGATTACTCATAAGAACACTGGAGAATTATAAAGTGTTATCTGTGTACATAATACAGGTTATTGTCAGAAAACTGAATGAGCAGCTCTTCTTTTGTAATGAAGTGAGGGTTTTCCTAACTCTTTTAATAGATAGAATAATTAAAACAAAAACAAAACACCAAAAAAAAACCCCACAAAACCATAATGTATATTGTCATAAGAATTTCCCAGAGTACTTAAAGAAATACACAAGGCTATTGCTAAAGTAAAATTTGTAATTTTACCTGGATTCTGAAGTAATTCTGTTGCTTCTGAAAACTTATAATGGGATGTTTTTGTGTGTTTGAATTTCAGACAGGAAATGAATCTTGGAATGCCTTAGATGCTCCTTCAGATAAACTATATACTTGGAATCCCAAGTCAACTTACATCAAGTCTCCACCTTTCTTTGACGGCCTGGTATGTGCACGCTCTCCCTTTGAATCAAGCCGAAGTGTGTAGTGACATTCAGTAGTGTTAAAAGGTGAAGCAAAGCCACTTCGAGGGGCCTGGGAGCATCCATCATAGCCTATTGAGCCCTTGGTTCTCAAGTGTTAGAATTTTACTATTGTATTAATACAAAGTCTTATTAATACTGTTGTATTAATACAGAGTCTGAAACTTTTAAGTATTCCCCGTCACTTCTCGGCTTTTGAAAAGTCTCCTTTTCCTTTTAAGCTGAAATACTTTTAAATAGTCACAAAGCAAGTGAGGGAAAAGGACAGGAAACGAAACCCACAATTCTACCAGCCTGCATTTTGCACCAAATAGTTCAATGTTCAGATTGCTATTTCAGTACCATTTAAAAGAAAATGCAGATTTCAATGCATGCAGATGTCTAGGAATCCTGGGTTTTCATCTGCGTTAATGCTTGTACCACAGGAAGCCTCAGCTAATTTTTTTTCCTCATCTGTTTTCTTCATGCATGAACTTGCTGACAGACAGCCAAGACATCATATTTTGTTCAAGAACATAAACATTTTTAATAGAGTTAGGTTTTCTTCCTTCTTCTAACTTGTATCAAAAGGGAGGCTTTATTTTGCAGTTTGCACTTTTGAGAAAGGTAAAGGAATTGTGTCATATTTTAATGATGTTGTTTGTATTTATGATGGTTTAGACTTTGGCTCTTCAGACTCCGAAAACAATAGAAGACGCTTATGTCCTGTTGAGTTTTGGGGATTCTGTGACAACTGACCACATATCTCCAGCTGGGAATATAGCAAGAAATAGTCCTGCAGCCCGTTATTTGACCAGCAGAGGGTAAGCACTACTTCTTGTTCGTGTTACAAATTGGGAAGAGGAAACAAGGCGCAACTACTATACCATGTTACAGGGACACATATCTGCTGTCTGTTGCCATACACTTGTATAGCTTGATGGATACCTGGAGAATATACAACAGAAGAAAGAAAAGCGTTTCTCTGTTGTTTCAGCACCTCTCACCAAGTGTAAGAACTTTCATAGAGTGTGCACCTTTATTACACTGGAGAGCTGAAGACCTTTGTATGGGGTGAGGGGAAGAAGATAACTTTCAGGCTAGTTTTTGCAGTAAGTCTGTTCATAAATAAGGGAATCAGGATTTGTCTCCCTGTGGAAGAAAAATTGTCATGGTCTTAATGCCAAAAATTGGGTTTAAGCTCACTTCTTCTAGCATGTACAACTGTTTCACAGATGCAGGCTATCAGGAGCTACAGAACATCCAGAAGTTTAGGTTTCAGTGCAGTTGCAAAAACTGGCAAAGCTATTATGGTTGGAGTCCAAACTGCTGTTTAGTCTTTTTCTATGGCCAGCCTGTCAGTTTACTACTCTGTGTTCAACATAAGGCAGGACTAGGACTTGCTGATTTGCCCTATTACGTCTTCAGCACTTCTTACTACTTCAGTGGTGTTTTGAGGAACAGCACTGACATTGTAAAAAAAATATTTTCACTGGACATAATAATTCGGGAGATGAAATTGATTAAAACAGTGTGATCTACTGAAAACTAACTGCTCTGGACTCTTTGGCCCTCTGCTGTCAGTCACTTTGAAATCTAAATAGCCCTACAAACGTTGCAAAACAGATGTGTGTCGTAGCTGCTCTTTGGATGTAGCCCAGTGCAAACAGTCCAATTTTCTGTCACATTCCAGCTTATTTTTTTCTTACTGATTAGGCTGGAGTGTCCCCTCATTGTCATATTTCTGTTTGCAAATGAGCTTTTTCTTCTGTAGTTATAACTTGTAGCAGGGGCTCTCTCTGCCTTTTAGATGTTTTGCACAGTGGTGTCTCTATGGTGGTATAAATAATTAGGAGGCTTTTCAATACCCAACTGTTAAGGAAAGAGTTGTATGGTGTCTTCTGAGCTAAAATGAAGTATATCATTGCATCACTATCAGATACTGTTTTGTAGGGCAAGGGATGAGAATACTATGGAAGCTGTGTTCCGTGACCAAGCTGTAGGCAGACTGCTATTTTTTCAATTTTTTCTTTTTCCTTAAAAAAGTCTTAAAAGTATCAGCTAACTGGATGCTACTGCCACAATGGGAACTAGGTACATACCTGCCTCAGAAACACTAATTCTTTTTTTTTTTTAAAGCAGAGTGCTTCAGTCTAAATACAACACCGTTTCCTTTTTCCTTTGCTTTCTTTTCCTCTAATAGCTTGACTCCTCGAGAGTTCAATTCTTATGGCTCCCGTAGAGGGAACGATGCTGTCATGGCCAGAGGAACATTTGCAAACATTCGCTTGGTGAACAAATTTATTGATAAACAAGGACCTCAGACTGTCCATTTCCCATCAGGGGAAACTGTAAGTACATAGCTGTGCTAAACTGAGGGTCACTGACAGTAGAGTGGATTAGTACCAGCTTTCCTTCTTACAGCTTAGGTCATTTACTTAAGTGCCTTTTAAGTAAAGCTAATGAGGGGATAGGAGCTGTATTGACCTAGACAAGCAGGTCACACATACCTACATAATGTGGTGCTATGAGGCATGTTCAATAGAGAGTATAACCACTGTAGAAGCGGTAGTGGAAGATGGAGGTTTGTGTTGGGAGTGAGGTCAGGTTAGAAGTCACAAAGCACTGTATGGTTAATATCCTTAGAGTGCTGCTTGGTGGGAAGTGTGGGCTTCAGCTATTTATGTGTGGACACTTTTTTCCTTATTCCCCTGGAACTGTGCTTCTGCCCCCCAAAATGTGTATAATAAAGTGTTTGGCATTTTCATTCCAGTTGGACGTGTTTGATGCTGCGGAAAGGTACAAGCAGGCTGGCCATCCTCTGATTGTGCTGGCTGGGAAGGAATATGGTGCAGGAAGTTCCAGAGACTGGGCAGCTAAAGGACCATTCCTCTTGGTGAGTTATCACGGTAAACTAGAAGGAGGATAGTACTCAAAAGTGCATTCGTCAGGAAGACTAGCTTATGACCAACATCCTGGATAGCTCATTCTCACTTTTGGTAGCAAGAACTATTTTGAAATCTCAGCTGCCTCCAAGAGCCACAGTAGAGTTGCAAAAGCTATTTAAATATTAATAGATCCTCTTCAGACTGGAAGCCTTGACTGATCTTCTAGAAATCCACAAGGCTACACCACAAAGGCGAGTTTCTTTACTTCTGCTTCCCATAACCTAGTAAACCTTGAGTCTGCTTCCAGCTGCCTCCTTCACTTCACTTAGCAGGAAAGATAGAAAGTGTAAGAGAAAAGTAGTATTGGTGAAAACGTAATTTAGCATGGCTTCACCATGCAGATTGCAAGGATGCTTAGCAGTATTGTTATAGCAGCCTAATAGAAATCCATGTACAGTGAAATATCTGTTTCTGTTCTTTGTCCTGTCCTGCACTATTTACCAGCCTGAACTCTGATTCAAGGTTTCTTGGTGTGGAATTTGTGAAAGCAATAGCGTATGTATTATTTAACAAAGTTTTAGGAGAGTTGGTGTTTAAGATTATGTTCATCTAAGTTTTGGTTTTTTTTTCCAGTGGTGACTTTTTTGTCATAACTGTATTAAGACATAAAAATTTAGAAATTAATTAAACTACATCCTTGAGCTTGTAGTGTAGGAGAGCAACACTGAATTAGGAAGAGCTACAGAAATGACTAGTGGTGCTCTATGTAAGACACATTAAAGAAGTATGTAGAATTCCTGAGAAAGCGTATTTAATTATTTGACAATCAGACTTCTTTTAAAGATGTTTGAAAGCTGACATATAGTGAAGTCATCCTGGACAGTCCACTGTCAGGCAAATCTGTTGACTTTACCAGTAGCTGGTAAATGAAATGGAGAAGACCACAAACATACCAATTTCCTTCCTATAAGCACAGAAAGACTATCCTGAACCATGAAGATAACTATACCTGTTGTCTATTTCCCAGGGTGTCAAGGCTGTGCTTGCTGAAAGCTATGAGAGAATTCATCGAAGCAACCTAGTAGGGATGGGAGTGATTCCTCTGCAGTATTTACCTGGAGAGGATGCAGGGACTTTAGGACTCACTGGACGGGAGCGTTACACAATCATCATTCCTGAAAAACTAAAACCGCAGATGAAAACCCAGATTAAGGTATGAGACGCCTAAGGGCTGAATTTTTTGAATCACTGTAATTTCATTCAAAATTAACTGTCTCTTCAAACAATGTGCTTTTGTATGACAGTAAACTTCTCTCACTTGAGGGAAGGGAGAAGAATTGAGATGGTGAAAGGGGTGAAAACAGTCATTGTAATAGAGATTTGCTACAATGGGACATAAAAGCAGCATGCCCAAACAGTTTTATTTAACACAAAGCAGTCCTGTATTTTGAAGTCTTTCAAAGTCCACCATAAATTTTTCTGTCTGAGGTAAATGTTTGAAGCACAATAAAAAGACAACTGTAAGTATTAAATTAAATAAACTAATTTATTTAAATGCATTTAAAATTAAAATAATTCACTGACAATTCAACTGACAGAATATTGTACACTGCAGCATTCAAAGTGAAGTCTAAGCATACCCAGCATAAAGTCTAGTTAAACCTCTGGCCCTGTATTTAAAAGACTGCTTTTTCTCTAGCTTTGCCTCCAAACCTGTGCCCCCTTTTTGAAAAATATTAGCAAAAATTTGGTTTATTCTTAATTTGGGCATTTATAAATCTGACTTAACCTAACAGCATCAAAGTCTGCTTTTTTACTGCAGTTAGCAAAGCAATATACTTACTGCATGTTCATTGAATGCAGGTGGTCTCCCTGGATTAGTTTCTAACAGTAGTTGTTTACATGTGCCTCATTAACTGCCCTCAAAAGAAGAAAGTATAGATCCCAAAGAGCTAGTCAGCTTATCAGTCACAGATGGAACATCGTGCATTCATCTGGAAGTACCTGACTAGGGGAGGCTTCAGTAAAACCCAATGGTTTTATTCACTTCATGCACTTGTCTTTATGCTTTTCTGATTCCCAAACGCTAGGCTTCAAAGAAAGCTAACGTAAAATTAGTTATTATTACTGTTCTACATAAGCCAGAAGAATGACTACATAGAAGAACATCAAGAATTAATATAACTACTTGAAAGGAGGGTCAGCTTTCATGCCTTGAGGCATGTATCAGCAACAAATCTAGATCAGGCAGCAAATGCAATGCAAGGAGACTCCATACCATCTTTATTATGGTTTGGTTTAAACCACTTTCCTCTTAAGCAGATGGCTGTAGTCTAGTGTGGAAAGGAATACTGATGTCCAGTGCCTGTTCACTTAAGCTTTTTATCACAATTTCTTAAGATGGCGAAACTCTCATAATAGTCCTTATTTTACTATGATGTCATGTAACATGAGGAAAGTTCTGCTGCTTAAATTACTTTCTTTGACTCCAACAGCTGGATACTGGGAAAACCTTTCATGCCATCATGAGATTTGACACTGACGTAGAGCTCACTTACTTCCATAACGGCGGCATTCTGAACTACATGATCCGTAAAATGGCATCCTAATCACAAACATTAAGCAAAAACATCCAGGTACAAGCCTGCTTCTGGTGAGCGCCGTAAAACCATGGTAATCATAAACTCGAAAGTGTGAACCATAAAGCGAACAGTTTTTTTGTGGATTATATTAGAAGGCTTGTTTACAATGCTGAATTATTCTATGTATCAGGAATCTGGACACGCTTGCCCAATTAAAATAAGCAGCATTTATTATTTGTTTTGTATGGTGATTGGCTTGACTTACCTTAGAATACAGTGCAAAAGTCATTAAAATACTGCTGGAATCTGTGGAACTGTTGAAGATGATGTGCTGATTTCATATATTTGGTCCATTTAGTTTGACTCTGAAATTAAGTTCTATACTTATATCAGTGGTCCAAAAACTAACTGACAGTATAAAAAATAATTTTTATTCCTTCCTGATTACCTGATATTGACTTGCTTTCTTATTCATTTGAACAGAATCTGAATCTAATAAGAAATTAATTATAATTTTTTATTCATTTTAAAAAATGTGAACTTTGTTGTTTAAGATCTAAGCCTTTGTGGAAGGTGGACCTATTGGGGATATTTCTAATGCATAAAATTAAATTTATTTTCAAGAAGTTTGGTGGGTTTTGTCATGTTATCCTCAGTACTGAGATGCGGAACAAAGCTTTGACTTTAAACTCTTCTCATTGTCCCTGTAGGAGCAGAGTCATACAAGCCTTGACTTCTCATATTTCAATTCTTGTTTCTTTGAATAATCTGCATGATGCAGGATGAATACAAATACTGTCAGACACTGGCAGTCTTCTGTAACCCAACAGAATACTGCTGTGATGTACTTCTCTCTGTTTTGTGTCCTCCAGAAGAAAGCTAACACAGTTTCAAGATACCGGTCAGCAATTTTTATGGCAGTTAGCAACCAGTGATTACACTAACACATTCATTGAAGGCAGTGACTGCCTGATCCACAATACCACATGAATCTATTTACAGTGATAACAAATATCCTCTTAACTCAGAGATAAACAAGGTTATATTACCAATTCTTAGTCTTAACTGTATTTAGAGCAACTGCCACAACAATTAACATAGTGGAGAAATTCCTTCAAAGTAATCTCCTAATGTATTTTTAGTGCAGTGAGCTGTATCTGGAAAAAAAATAGTTCTGAAAGAAGTCAAGAGGCTTAAGGAAGGGATAGAGATTGCACTGTACCTGCAACAGGCTATTCTTGCTTGATTACAACAAACAGAGCTCCTGTAGTGAATCCAGCAGAGGCCCACTAAGATGTTGCAGAGTCTGGAGCATCTCTCATATGAGGACAAGCTGAGAGAGCCAGGGCTGTTTGGCCTGGTGAAGAGAAGGCTCAGGGGCATCTCTGCTGTTTGTGAAGAAATATCTGAATGAAGGGCACAAAGAAGATGCAGACAGGCTCTTTTCATTGGTGCCTTATGACAAGGCAAGAAGCAATGGGCACGAACTGAAATGCAGGTTCCCTCTGAACATCAGGAAACACTGTTTTACTATGAGGATGACCAAGCACTGACTGGAAGAGATTGCCCAGAAAGGTTGTCATGAATCCATCCTTGGAGATTTTCAGATGCTGTATGAACATGGCCCTGGACAAACTGCTGTAGGTGACAAGGTGACCTCTAGAGGTCCCTCCCGACTTCAGCTGTTCTATGATTCTGTGAAACATCTTAACAGGGCACTGTTAATATGGTCATAATCTTGAGCATTATTTGGTAATAAATATGAAAATTCAGGTTCAATTGCAAAAAAAATTCAGATATTCTCAAAGGCCAGGTAGAGTGCTGGTGTTCTTCCCCACCCTCCCACCTCCATTGTGTACTGAAGGTAGGCTTGTATCAAGTTGAATTCTTAGTAATGTGTTACCTCATTGACCTTTATTACACTCATTTAGACTGAACTGTGGAGTTGTTTTAGTCTGCAGTCCTTTCGTTCAAACAGTAGGAAAAGACTAAAACTCCTCAAATCCCTTAACTTCCTAGTAGTTATTACAATATGCTGTGAAACTTAAGACTGATTATTTCTTATGACAAGAGTCCCGAAGTAGATGGCCCTTTCACACAGCAAACTGATATTCAAAGATGGTGGTTTTTCATGTACTTTTAATTTGAAAGTGCTAAACCAGCCTTCTTCAAAATCTTTGTTCCTAGTATTTTTGGAGGAGAGGCATTATCTGACCATAAATCATCTTTATCCATTGTTCTGTGTTTCCTTTTTAGAAGCAGCTATTAGAACTGTGAATTTACTCATTAAAAACTAAGCACAGAGTAAGTTACTGCAGGACTGAGATTCAGGCTTACTGTACGTTGTCTACTGCTTTCACAGTAAAAGGCGTGGACTGGGATGGAACACAAAGCAGTACTTGAAATTTTTTGTGTTGTTTTGCCTTTAATGCCACATGACACTGTTCAAAAGAACATCACAGGTCTGACCTACTAGAGCTTAGGTAGTTTAAATAATTTTTGGTCCTTGAGTTAGGATCCTGTTCAAGGTGGTTTATTTTTCTTCAGAGTTCGTTTCAGACACATAGTTCTTTCACATACATACCTTACTACACTATCAAATGCGTAAAGCGAATGGAAAACATATTTGTTGTTGGTTCTAGAAATACTGAAGATTAAGCTTGTTGAAGATATGCAGAATCAGCAAGTGCTTTAAAGTGTACAAGTTTAACAATGTTCCGTAACTGTGTCTGTAGTAATTTCTGTTTTTCTGAGAGAAGTCTAGGATCTGGGTGGGGAGGAGGCATTTAAACACACTAATGCCTAGACTTTATTCCAATCTAGATATGCTCTGACAGGAAATCTGCAGAATTAATATTGTCTTGAGAGATTTCAGATGCCAGCTCATGAGACAGGACATCAGGGTAAATGCTAATCACCATCTAAATTAAGCCTTTACCCATCTTACCTTGTCCCCCTTGGGTCTTGTTCAGTTAAGCAACACATAGAAAGCTCTCTATACTGCAACTTCAGCAACAGTAACTTGATGAACATGCAGTGATAGAAGAAAACAGTGCTACCATTTTAATCCAGAAGATGCCTCCTCCAGGAGGGCTCTGTGAAGCCTTGCTGCTTTTCTCAAACTCTTGCAGAAGCATTCTCTATTAAAGATGGATTTAAAATACGCAATATCTTCCTTACAGAAAAGTTACTGGACATTTTCTTTTATTTTTCTGTATACCAAAATGCCTGAAGTGTTAAAAGTAACTTCTAAAAAGCTTTAAAAGTAGGTAAAGTAGTGCTTATAGTGTCAGCATGCATAAGCCATGTTGTCTGTATGGAGGTACAATCCAACCAGAAGTTACTGGTAACAAAGAAGATTCTGATTCACACAGAAATGCTTGAAGTTGCGACCTGTCACTAAAATTAGATAAAACTTGTTTTTTTCAGACGAACTTCTTCATAGCAGCAAGGATTAAGATCCAGATGCTTAGGCATATGTTTGTCCATGCTTATATTAACACTTCTAGTGAAACATTTCATCAGATAGCAAATTTTTTTTAGTGGCCATACTAGCTTTCTTTAATCTAGTCAGATGCTGATGAGGGGCCTTGCATATCAGACAGCATAAAGAACAAGGATTTTTTTATACATAGAAATAGATCATCTACTATTTCAGCTGAGTGCAGTAGGGTGATACATGCACTAAAATTCTGAGTTCAGCTGTATGTTTCTTCAACATCAAAATTCTTCAAAGAAAAATTAATATTTTTCCATTTCTGAAAATCCATTTGTGTCCCAGTTTCAACATTCTCTACTACAAAGCTTTTGATTTTGATCACTGGTAGATTATCAAATGTCTTGTACTTCACTATGATTCCCCAGTCATGCTGGCAATTAGTATTTTGGCAATGCATCTTGCTTTTTTTCAGAAAACAGTCAAACTGGACCGGTTTCTTATGAGGCTTTGTTATGTAACGCTCCTTGAATGCATCTCCTAGGACAGTGTGATGAGATTCCTGAAACAACACAAGCCAGAAGTGCTTAATAGTAGAAACACCATTCCTTAATTTTTCCTGATATTCCCCTTCCTGTCACAAATACCATTTGCCTGGTAAGGTGCTTCTTGTCATTCAGGAGGCTCACCTTCCAGCCCCCTTGGCTCATTGCTCTTTTTTCCCCATTCATTAAATATGAGGTACTAGAAAGGCCTAGGCTGGGCTTATCAAACCAAAAAGTACTATGTATCACCAGTCATCAGCTTATACATATTTAAACTTACTTAGCTTCTCCAAAAATCATGCTTGCAGTATTCGAGCTTTTTGCATAAAACTAACAGCGTCATCCGGACGACAGAAGACTTGAGAGACTCCTGCTTTTCACTCATTTTAACTGTATGACCACAGCTTTCCATGAGAGATGATGCAGTTACTTTGCGGTGGTAGAAAAAGTAACCATAACAAGGTACAGTTGTTGTTTATAACATACATAATCAAAGATTTAAAAAATTAATGATTTGAAAGCCTGTGTGCAATTTGAGCTGGAGTCTGAAAACGCTATTTCTTCCTAGAAACACAACTTCCATTAAATATGTAGGCTGAACTATGACAAAGCTCAGTTTGCAGAGATTATTTAAAATATTTTGAGGGATTATTTGCAAAGCACCAAGCAAAAACTCTTTTTGAAGAGTTTTCTGAACTCTCAGATCTATTTGCACAGGTGTAGGTGATAAGCCAGCAGCACAAAATGGAGTAACAGTCAGAGGTGCATGTTAGACATCCCTTGTTATTTGCCAGAGAAGTGTAGCTAGGTTTTTACAAAGCCAAGCTATTCCCAGCTCCTCGCCTGTGGACATTCCCTGTTCAGAGGAGTAGTGAACTCTACCTATGTTCCAAAATCAGCTGGTAAAAATAAAAAAAATAATTTCTTGATTAAAAAAGGCAGTGCCTGAAGGCAAGCACTCTGTAATGCTCAGCTGTGGCCTGAAGTCCCTTATTACATCACAACTGCACTTTGCAGAGCAGCACAAACAGAAGAAGCTTCAAAAGAACAAATGTCAGAACTAGAAAGGCTCTAAGTGCCCAGAAAAAGCAATAAAAATGTCCCCATGCGATACATAGAAGCAATGTGATCAATGGAAAACGAAGTA